GTTCATAGTCAGCCCGTATTGTTGTGTCACTTTTTCAAAACAACTAATGAATTTTTCTAGATCATCGATCTTTTCACACATTACAAGTAGGTCATCTGCATATAATAATGCCAAAATGTCGAAGTCATTATGGCTTTCGTTTTTTTCCGTGAAAGAAGTCATTACTACCATACGAAAATTTTACTCCTGAAATGGCAGCTTCACTAATAACTTCTCTTATGATGAAATCAAATAGAATGTTGAATAGGATTGGTGAAGGAATACCTCCTTGGATTACACCTGTATCCATTTCGAAACTATCTGACAATTCACCATGTATTTTAACTTTTGCTATTGTGTGTTTATATAGCATTTTTAATAGATTGACCAGTTTATTAGTAATGCCGTAACTACGACATACTTTCCATAAGAGTTCACGATTCACCGAATCGTAGGCTTTCGTGATATCAATAAAGCACCTGAATAATGGTTTATTGAATGCTCTTCTTTTTTCCATGGTCATCTTTAAAGTAAAAATTTGATCTATAGTTGACCTGTTTGGTCTAAAACCAGATTGTATTTCTAATAGTTTGCATTCTACTAGGTCATGAATACGGTTGAGTATAATTCGTGAGAATATTTTACTAGTTGTATTCAGTAGTGCGATGCCCCTATAGTTGTCGCAAAGTTTCCTATCACCTTTATTTTTATACAGTTTGATTAGGGTTGTCATGTTCCATTCTTTTACCATATGCTCGTTCTCCCATCATCAGTAAAGAATTCGAACAACCATCGGATTATCGGTCCACCACCAGCTTTTAGGATGTCAACTGTGACTTCATCATTACCTGGGGCTCTCCTAAATTTCATTCGACTCAGTGCTTTTCTCACTTCTACAATAGATAGTGGACCATTTTGTTGTCGCTCTTCAGCTATTAAAATGGTCGGTGTTTCAATCAGATCAATAAGATTTTGATCTATTGATGAGATGACGTTGAGTGTTTCATGGAAAAATTCACGCCAACGCTTTAAAGTATGTTTTGAATTAACCAGTAGTTTACCACTTTTATCATGTACTGGCATGATTTCGTCTCTTTTACTTTCTCCTCTGAGACGTCTAATGATGGAAAAAGCCGTTGTAGGATCATTATTTTTGATAGATTTTTCTATATTTTCGCATACTTCATCCCAATATTCTTCTTGACGGTGTTCCGTCATTATTTTCGCTATTTTTCGCAGGCGTTTATAGTTTTTATGAAATTTAGACTCTAATTTAGAGCCACGATTGTTTTGCCACTCAACAAATGCTACTGATTTTTGGTCAATAACTTTTAGAATTTCACTTGTCAACCATTCTTTCCTTTTTCGTTTCGAGTTTTTTGTCAACAGGAAAATGATATTTGGCCTTTTCTTTTATCTGTGA